AAATCCAAAAGGACATCAAATTTAATAAAAACTATTCTACTAGACTAGAGCAAAACAGATGCAATTCTCATTTGTTTTAGTGTTTTTTCACAGAAAATCTGCTGCATAATCTAGAGTTTTTAAAAATCTGCCTTCGTTTAAAAAGACCTATTCTATGTGGTGGTTCTCTTGTTTAATGACTACAAGGTATAAAGCCACCCCTTTGTTTTTCAAAATTAAATTGCAGATAAATAAATCCATGAGTGTAGGAAATGACACAGTGAAAAAACACCTGAATCAGATAAAAGAAGCACAAGCCAAACTTTTAAAATATGCCAGATGGAGTCTATAAAAAGAAACAAACCTCCACTTTGCAATCCTATTTTGTTAGTTGAAATCACTTTCTACCAGCTGTTTCAGAAGACTGCCAATGTAACACAAATATATCATCAGAAGAAAATTAGCAGAAAGGAGATTGGGCACGAATTATATCCAAAACCAAAGCACAATAAGGAAACAACCATAATGCCAGCACAAAGTAGGTACATTCAAATTCTTATTCTGTAAATTGCTTGGCGTTATTCTTATTGAAGACGAATAAATAAATATATCATCCTGATTTGTAAAGTGGCTTATAGAAACCTGTGCAAACATGTTCATTAACAAACTGATCATAGGTGACAATATTAATGGTAAAATACTATCACCATTTTAGAGTTCATTGGAAGCTAACTACTGAGTCAATTTGTTCAGCTCAATCATGAAAAAAATGACTGTTCAGATTAGTATAGAAAAATTCCTATTAAAGAGCTGTAATCATATACCAGGGATGGATATCCCAAAATGGGTAAATGGTTACTAAATGTATATTGGAACTTCAAACTTTATTTCAATGAAATTTACTGTTGGAAAGAGAGTGTTCATAACACTGTATAAATTTTTGTTTAGGCTAAGCATACCTCCAACCTTAATAAAAAAAAAACTAGTAATAAATGATGGAAAACCTGTTTTTTACATTAAAATATATCTCTATTGCATTTCTATTTTTCCATGTAGTAATTAAAAATACCTTTCAAAAGATTTGTCTATGGAGATTCTCAATCATCAAAGTTATGGTTTCTTATTGTGCTTTTTCAAGAGGCAATTTGACTTTCTGGATTTTCTTTGGTTTCACTTCTCATTCAAGAAGCTTCTTCAGCTCCGAATGGATGTTGGGGAATGGAAAAATGTTTACTTCCAGGTGGCCTCAATGATGCTCTAAAAGAATGCAAATGACTAGCTGTCTGCAAGGAGTATAAATCCTTTCATTCTCCACTATCCACTATCCCCCTTTTTATAATTATATAAAATAATTTATTATTTTTATTAAAGCAAAAACAGTGACTCCTTACATTATACCAAATAATGCTGTGCAAATCTTTTGCATTTGCAAAAATGCAAAAAACACTTGCTAATTATAAAGAATATGGTTAGAGACAGGAAGGAGGCAGATTAGTCATGCTATGTGCAGAATTCCAGAATACAATTATTGGAGTGGACCTCTAAGATTTGTTATTTTGTGTATACATTTGACAGAAACAATTTCATATTTATAAACATGGCTCAAGAAAGCAAGACATTACTCATGTTTTTCCTTGTCTTCTAAGGAAACAACCATTAGTTTTAAAAATATAAAGGATTTTCTTATAGATGATAGTGAGATAGATTGTATGTATTCATAGACAAATATGCGAATATTAATGTATTATCTGTAGATTGAATTTTTTTAAAAGCATATAAGTTAACAGCACATTCTTCACTTAAGTCTTGAGTATAGTGAAACTTATCCCACAGAAACTGGGTACAAGACTTCAAGTTAAGATGTTCATTCTTTTCCAAGGTGCTGGATCACATACAGTATCTGAAACAAATATATTTATGCTTCCTTTAAGAATCCAAAGTGGCTTCCATAGATTTCTTAGGCAACTAAATATATTGTTTTAATAACAGGTCTGCATTCACACAATCTGGGATCCATTTAGACCTGTGCAAACATTCAGCTTCTAGATTAGTTCTCTCTAAGAAGATAATGATTTCAGGGGACAAAATAAATTCTTGAATTCATCTTGAATGTTTATATATTATACAATATCTATGTCTTCACACTGCATCTAAAGGATCTAAAGCTGGGAAAGTTATCTTCAGATTCACATGATGAGTATTAAAATGTGGAACAAATTGATTACCATCCTATTCCATTCATGCAAGGAAATTAGATAAAAATCCCATTCCCTTTGATAAAAAAGCACCAATCCATCAGGATGACTGGATACAACATTCAAACCACATTAAGTTTTTGACAGTTATATAATTGTTGCTTGATTTTACCACATTGGTTTTATGTACTTTCATTTAAATCATGTGCTATTGGAGCAAACTCCAGTTTGTACTCTTTGCTTGTACTTAATTTCATTTTTTCCCCTGTCAGGCATCAAGTTCAGCGATTGCTAAGCATCAAAATATTTAAATGAAGTATTTACCATAATATACAAATACCATGCCACTTTTTCATAAAGTTGTGTTAGCAAAGGAAAATGATTATTATGATTTTATTCAACTTGTGAAAACAGAGCATCATAAGAAATTTTCTTTGAATTTTCTTTTTCTAAAACTGATAACCAACCCTGGAAAACCTCTTTATGTGTGTGAATCTCTCTGGCTTTCATTGTGTAGTTGATATATTTGGATGAGAGAGTAGGAAAACCTAAAGCATGAAATGAACTGATGCATATACATATCAATTGCAGATAGTTAATCACAAAGAGAGATGGAATTACTGCAAGTGATGTAAACATTTTCACCAAAAAAGTTGCATGCAAAATGTGAGGGAGAGTTTTGGTAAATAAAAAATACTTTAATAGTCTATTTAAAAAAAAGAAAATGTGATTATTTGTCTCCACAAGACTAGAAAGAATTCTAATTAACAGAAAACATCTCTACAGTGAGAGGCTGTAAAAATAAAGCAAACCAATTCCAAGAGGGGTTTTCAATTTCTTGCCTTAAAATCAGCAACAAGTTGACAGACTGTTCAATTCTTCACACATTTCATTACTAAAATAGCCCATTTCCCCATAAAACTAACAAGGCATAAAGGTGACCAAACTTCTATTACCTAAAGCTAAAGATTTTACGGCTATGTTTCTTCAAATTAAATAATTGTTTTCTGTGTTTCCCCCCATCCCCACGGTTTAAATATATTTATACATTGTTCAAAGGATTGCAATAAATTTCTGTCAATATACAAATATTTTAGAAAGAGGCATTCAAAATTTTCAGCAGAAATAATTCTGTGAACAATTTGGAAACTGACATTAGTTATCATTCCATTGTTGAAGTATTTTATGCACATACTTCCCATTCATACTATAGGAATATTGCAAGAAAAAATATTGATGAACTAAAAGGTAGAAGTTATTCCATAGTTAATGTGAGTTTGAATGTCTTACAGACATGGGATGCACTCATACCTGGAAGTACAAAAGTATTCATGTGAAATGCTCCCCTCTCTATTGTCATGAATGAGGACATTGACATATAAAGAAATTCCTTTCGTGCACTGCTTCAAACATGGGGTCCAGAATCAAAAGCTATCCATGGATAAGTCTCTTTTGTTTTTAATAATTTTAGGGCTATCTTTGTTCACCCTTACTTTTACTAAATCATAATTTGGACAGTTTTCAGATATGAATAATGAAGCAAATAGTTGTTCATAGGTGTGATCTCAAACTTCCTGAATAATAGAGGATGCTATTCATTAATTCAGAAGCATGCTTGCTTTCAATTTCAACCAAACCAGGAGTTCACTTTTTTATCTGAACCAAGGGCCACACTTGGGCTGAGTAGGTTTGATTTCATTAACACTTAATAAAAATAAAATAAAATATAGCTAATATGATTTCTGTTCAGTCATGTTTTAATTATGACTTCCTATTACATTAAAAATGTGGTAAAAAAAAAATTCTGAGGGCTACACCAAAGCTTTCAGAGACTGCACACAACCCTATGACCTCAAGTTCTACAATAAAACAATTGTCTATATCACAGATACTATTTTAAAATTTCCTTTGTGCACTAGTCAAGGAAGGAAGAAAAGAAGATAGGCAGGTTTTTACAGTTTTTCAACTTAAAAATTATAAAACAAAGGTAAGCTTTGTTTTCCAAACTTATGAATGTTTGACAATTTATTCTTTTTCTAGTTAAAATACCCTTTCTGACATATGTCAAACCATGAAACTCTTATAAAAATAACACTGATGGGATAAAACTGGTTAACAGTGAAATTAGCATCAATTAAAATTAACTTCAAGTTGCATTAGTATTAAAAGGACCAATTCAAATTAATATCTGATTATGACTCTGTCCTTGACTGTTCTTTAAAAAATCAATTCAAGCCTTCCTGAAAAGATATATTGGCACAAAACTATGACAAATGATTATGTAGATAAGCTATGTTTCTTGGAGAATGGGAAGATTTCCTTAAATTAGTTATCTTCGTTTATATCATATATTACATTTCAAAATGTACAGACACCCAATGTACTTTTTTTTAACAACATATACATGTGAGTTTATAGAGTCATTATAAAAAGTTTTTGATTCTAAATTAAAAGCAATAGAAATAGAATCAAAATAATGGAGGTTGATAGTACAGTCAGTGCTTATTTTCATAATTATTGACAGCTGTATCTTTGGCATTGGAAATTCAGTACAATTTTCAGAAAAAAATGGTGTTGCTTACAGCTTTTTAAACAAGGACAAACAGGATTGACCAAAGTACAAAATTTGGGGGATTATTATTAAATATTTATTTTTTTAATATATTTTTTAGGCAAGGTTAATTTAAGGACCCTGAATTACCTTCTCATCTTAGGGTATGGTGCAGACTGTATGAATTTATTTAAAAATCAACTAAATGGTACCACGTTTCCCGGAAAATTATATGTAATATAATATATATTTTTATATTTATTTAGAAGCTTTGAAATAGTACAGTAAACACTTTGCAACACGGTGTATAAACTACAGAATGTCTCTGATATTTGTGGGCTTGCAGATTAACAACATATTCAAGACCCACAGGTGAAAATAACATGATTCACAATTTCTTTTGTAAAGTTGGAATAGTCTGGGGAACACTTGATCACACAAAAATAATATAAAACAGTCAAGTTTAAAACAGTGATATTGCATTTATAATGCACGTTTCCTTTGTTTAAAATCTGTACGATTGGCTTCTTGTGGCGAATATAAACATCTAAAGGGCTCAGTGACATTTTGGAGAGAGAAGAGAAAGAAGGAGCTATATAGTGCTGTAAACAGGCACACACTGATCAGAGAGACAAAATCAGTTGCCTCTTTAAGTTTCTATAGTTCCATACATTTCAACTCATTTCTCAGGCCTGCTGAGAGCAAGTAGGTCCTATTATTGGCCATAATGTCTTCAACAGCACAATATTTCTTCTGTTAACACAGAACTGGATGGCCAAGATAATGAAGTTGAAAAGTTGATGCTTTTGTTGGTCGACTTTTGTGCAAATCATGCTGCTTCAGGTAAGTCCTGTAGAATTGACTAGCATATCCTTTTCCGTGCTGTGGAGAGAGAAAAAAAGTGGGGGAGGGGAATCTTAGATAAGTAAAGATTGACATGTTAACAGGCAGCAGTATTTATTAACAAAAGCAATAAATTATGAGATAATTTAACATGGACAATAGTCAATAGTCAGACTTCTTTATTTCAGAAATGATATAATTATCAAATTATTCCCTGCACAAAAAAACTATAAATTGCTTATTACAATATGTCTTTATAAATCTTTTAAATTTATATTTAACTGGATTATTGTATGCCTTTATAAATCTTTCAAATTTATATTTAACTGGATTATTGTATTATAGCCAGAAAAATTCTTTGCCAGTACTCACTCTTCCCCTTCCCTTTTCCAAACTTCAATTGTCTAATTTGGTGGGATGATGATAGGACTAGCAAGGACTAGTAAGTGGAATTTTTCAATTGTGATTGTTGAATCTTACAAAATAAGACTAACACTGAAATAATAATCTTTCTTATGATTGCTTCTGCTATTTAGCATAGCACCATAGCTATCAATTAGATGTGGCTAATTAGATATGGCTGAATGATCCAAGGAAGACCTTGAATAGGTTCAGAGTTGGAGTGCCTAAATGTAAAAACTATAGGCTCAATTAGAAACTATTAGCATCTAACAACATACTATGTGAATTTGGAGAGATACAGAGCACAGCTCGTCTGCTGGTATGTCAGCTACTACCAGAAACATGTGCAAATAATAACTTATTTTTGGCACATGACAAAGCCAAGAAGTGGCTTCATTGAGGTAGTTTAAACTTTGATGTAGTCATGGAAGAAGAAGAAAAAACAATGGCAATGTATTTTCCATTTAAGTTCATTATTATGCATATCAATACAAATAAATTCAAGCTATACTAACATTATAATCAAATTCTAGAAGATCAAAATTATATGAAAAATATCAGACAGAAGGATATTAGATCTGAAATGACTGGATTGTCTTAATGTAATTTTTTTTAAAGAGAATGACTGGATTGTCTTAATGTAATTTTCTTTAAAGAGAGTAAACTGCATTGCACAGTTTTAAGAACTGTGAATGTTGAAGATTTCTATAATAGAGATCAATAAGCAAGTTTTACTATATGCATCAATAAAAAAAACATGTTTGGAGACAATTTGTATCCCAAGCATTATCAGTTCCCTAACATATTTCAAAACACATCTTATTTTTTGTTACTTCGAGTTAATTAATTCCCTGTCAAAAATCTCATTCCCCCTCCCAATTTGTTCTCATGTGAAGTAAATAAATGAAAAGATGGTCAGCTACTTTTCCTCATAATATCTAGAATTTATCTATTACTATAAATAATTATAAAAATAAATAAAATGATCTATCTATGCAAATATTACAATTATTCAAATACTGATTTGATTATGAATAGCCTATGGCTAGAGATGATATAGAGAGAGATCAATAGTATGATATAGCTCCACTGAGTCTCTCCAAACTGAAAATTATTTCCAAATGATTAAAGTTAAGATGCATTGCAAAAATACTATTACATTCACAGTGGCTACATAGTTATACATTCCTTATAAGGAACAAAACTCAGTATTTCAGTATAATTTATTTGGAGCAGTCAGGGCTAGAATTCTTCCTACATTTAGTTTCACTTAAATTCCAATGAAATAAGTAAGGTAATGTAGCTGAGACTTATGATGTAATGATTTGTGATTTTAAATATATAGTTCTAAAGAGAATAATAAGCATTATTAGAAACAATGGTAAATGGACTATGATGCTTTTGGAAGGACAGCATTAGTATATATCAATTAACATCTATTAAAAAAGAAACAAATTTGACTATAATTTCAAGAATCATGAAGCTCATCCTAGAAACCGGTGGTGGTGGAGTTTAAAAGCTCTTTTATCTAATAAGATAGCTGGAATCAAAAGCTGGCTTGTGATCCTGTTAGAGCTAGTTATTCAAAGGGAAAAAAAATTTCTAACATTTTGATGCTTGGTGTAAATGTTCAGTTTAATAGACTTCAGATTCAACTGAGAAAATGTGTATATTGTATGTTCCTTTATATGCATTAAAATCCCACTCACCATTTTATATATGTTAAACTACATAAAATCCAATATAGATTTAGTGAACATTCTCTTTTAACAGACATTCCTCCCTCCCATTAAATCTCTTACATTGAGGTTCATAGTATAGCAAATACAGCAAGTTGATCAATCAAGAAAACTGTAGATGGAGAGAGGATGGCTCCCTTAAAAGTAAACTAATTATTTTTCATTCATTAGAACAAATATTGCAAAATTATTGAGATAAAATGTTGTCTTTAATGCAGTTTACTTAATTAAGCATCACCATCCGTGTGTTTTGCAAAGCCGTGAAGATCAAAATATTCTAATATGTTTTTGACCTTGTTGACCTTTAATATGCAGTACTATATTTAGTATATTATTATTTTTTGTTGTATTGTGAATTGCAAAGTAAAAATAAATATTTATTAGTACTATGCAAAGCCATTTAGAGAGATTTACAAAGAACCCATCTGAATGTACTGCTTTTAGTATCAAAGACCTAATCCATTAAAAATCCAGCATAGCCTGTAGAGCAGGGGTGTCAAACTCACGTTGTCACAGTGGCATCATGTGACATATCAGGACTTTTTTCTTCTTTGCTAAACTGGGTGTGGGCATGGCCAGTGCATGACGCATCCGGCCCATGGGCTGAGAGTTTGCTGTAGAGGACCTTTTTTTGTTGTCTGAGAAAATACATTTTCTCCCAATGACAATGTCATTTTTGTATGCATTTGCATGTTCAGATCACTTTCGAAGGCCCTCAAAATAGCTATGCTGAATCTCTGAGAGAGCACAGCACTTCAACAGTTCCAAAACTAGTTACACACAGTCCTAGTAGCAACCACTTTATCAGATATATCCTATATTGGCATGTTTATATGCACACTTTTACATGTTCTTCATTAATAGTGTAGTTACAAGAAAAAGAAATGCAATAAGTATAGACTGTGTCAATTCCATTAAAGCTTCAAGGTAGATGAAAATTTGTATCCAGTATCAATGCAACAACAGTATAAAATACTTCTATTTTATTACTTATTATCACTTAAAAAAAAATCTCATTACAGTTATTGCAAAAATATCCAAAGATCTGTTTACACACCTTAGTATAACAAGTTTGAACTCAGAACAAATTTCTAATATTTCTACATGTTTATCCTTGCAGGAATCACACTCAAACAGGGATATCATCCTTAGGTCTCTGTTTCTAGTTCATTTTTTTAGAATTAAAGTTGTAATGCAAACAATAGTAGAATTATTAATACTAGGAAAAACAATAATACATTCAGTAAAGGAAGCAATTATGAATAACTCAAATAGACACTAACTAATTAGCTTTAACTTCATAACAAGTGCTATTCTATTATTATATAACTTTTTTTTCCCCTAGGGGCAAGGATGTAAAAACAGTATCTTATCCAATGTATCTAACTGTGTATTTTTTTAATGGTATACTTTTCTTGCCAAACAGGATCATGATTCTATGAAAATCATAACAATACAGTAGAACCTGATTTGGTCGTGACCGAACCTAATTTTGGAAATTTGGTGCTTACACAAAATATGGTGATTCAGAAGGGGAAATTGGCCGTGAAAAAAAAAATGTGAATTTTTTGGTTGGAACCTGATTTGGTCATGATCAGAAGAGTTTGTGACCAGAGGTTCTACTGTATATAGTTGAATTCTATCCAGATAATTATTATGCAATTCTGTAAATAACTATATACTGTAATATGAGAGTTGGTGCTGTCATGCAGTTGGTGCACCACTGAAATCAATATTTCCCATGGCCACAAGTTGGACTCCTTTATTTAATGTGTGAGATCACTCATAATGCACAAAAAGTACTTAAAACAATAGTTCATAATCATTATATAATTTATTATATTCATAATTCATTATCATATTCATAATAAATTATTATTGAAAATAGTGTCATTTACTATAAATACTATTATGTAGTATTTTAGCCATTTGTACTTTTATGTGTTTTAAATCACATTCAAGGTCACTTAATTTTCTATTATGTATTTTAAGCCAACATTCCAAAATGCACAGATATAGACTAATCAAGTCACACAAACACACACACACAAAGGAATGTCCCGAAGGTCCACACAGAATTTCCACTGAAGTTGATCAATATTATATTCATGTAAGTCTATTTTCCCAATCTGCAGACTCTAGAACACACTCTAAGTCTATCTCCTCAAACAAAAAGAAACAAAATCTGCAATTTGAGTCTGGCTCATGACAGGCTTTGTCCCCACTCCACTCCACTCCACTCCATTCCCTTCCTTTCTCTTTTTCTTTTTCCTTTCCTTTCCCCTTTCTCTAAGCTTAACCTGAAATTAACCTGAAAAGTAGTAAGTACAATTATATCTATATTTAGCCCTACAGCTAAAATATAGCCATACAACTCCTTCAGCTAGAAGACCCATAGGAGCTGTAACTCCCTGATGGAATCAGTAATTAGTCTTCCATTGTTCTTGCTAGTCCTATTATTATCCGACTAAATTAGACATCTGAAATTTGGAAAAGGGAAAGGGAAGATTGAATACTGACATAGAATTTTTCTGGATAACGTGATCCAGTCAATTATAAGTGTTAAAGATTTATAAAGAACCATTATAAGTAATCTATAGCTTTTAGGGAACAGTATACTTTCTTAAAGCTGAAATAAATGTGAAGTCCAAAATGACTATTGTTAATATTAAATTATCTTATATTTGATTACTTTTGTTAGTAAACATTTGTGCATTTTATTGATTTGGTGCTTTATGTGGACTGTAGCATAAAAACTGAACAGTGAAGCTGCTTCCACAGTTTGAAAAAGAAAAAGAAAAAAATTATGGCATATAAAATATTTATCAGTTTCTTTCTGTCTGAGCCAGATTGCCCAGACTTAAGTCAATTTCAAGGGGAGAAATGTTTAAATTTAAG